GGCTAGCTTCGTCGACTCTCAGAACATCTGTCTTCTAGAGCTGGGCCGCTCCCGGGGTCAAAACATCTAGCTTGTACGGCTAGCCTCGTCGAAGCTCTTCGTTGTGGATCGACAGTTGAGGAGATGCAAGTCATGACATTTGACAGCTGTGGTTGCTATCGTAAAGCGACGACGTGACCGCAGCTTCAGCTGGTCTGGGCAGTCCTTTCTTTCTTAACTAGCTCTCTTGAAAGATCTAACAGAACTTACGGAAATGTAATAACTTCTTTATGTTGTATGTAAGTTTAAAAAAAAAAAATCAAGCCACAAGAAATAAAACCTTTAATTCTAATGTGAGGGGATTCTCTGGGCGGGTGGGGTGTTTTCTTGAAGATAGCTTGACTAGAAATAGCTGGACTTGAAATTTTCAAAGTCAGAGCTGCTGAACCCTAAACCCTAAACCCTAAACCCTAAACCAGTGTTTCTTGCAGCTCTCCTGCCCTACTTCTCCGCTCCGGTGCTTAGCGGTCATTAGTGCTAGCGTAAACATTTGGAATTCAGCACTCCGACGTGAAGCGCCCAGGGCTTCAACGTATATGCCGCAGGATAATATGGGGTCCGTATATCTCAAACAGGGGGGAGTGCAATGTACCCAAATTGGGATTGTCAGAGGATAGTACCCCGAACTATTCGCGGGGAGACTCTCCGTGGCGCGTTGCCACCACAACTTGCAGCCAATGAGATGCCGTGTTCCACTATGGAGCATGTGCAGATGCTGTCACTGCCAATGTTTTGCCAACATCATCTGGAAAAATGCCGATTGAAAGCTCTAATGCCAAGGCCTTAATAATTAGAATAGGGCTTTGGAGGCTTATTATAATAGTTATAGTATAATGTACCACCCCGTCCAAACGTTATTCTAATCATTAAGGCCTCTACAGTACCAAACCCCCGGGCTGTTTTGCGGTCTTTGCAAGGCTGCGGGAGTTACTTTGGGGGTTTCGAGGCCTCCCACGTCGTCATCTTCGGCATGGGCAACATAGGTTACGTTCACAAACTTGGCACTGCTGGTGGGACTTACGGAAAGGGCCATGCATTGACTAGTCCCGTCAGATCCGCACGACCTGCCGTTCGGGTCGTGTTGGATATGTTGCAAAGGGTGGAGATGCCTAATTATCGGGGTGTCGGGCTTTAGGGTGTCGGGCTTTAGAGATATAGGGGTTCGCGTGTTTATGAAACTCCCAAGCAAAACTCCACAGCCCTAAACCCTAAACCCTATATCTAAACCTCAAACCTTAAACCCTAAACCTTAAACTGAACCCTAAACCCTAAGCCTCCGAAGCAAAGTCTCCGCAGCGCTTTTCCTACGAGTCTGTGGTTGATCCCCGGGCGACGGTAGTGATTTGGAAGCCATGGCCCAGCCTGTTCCTCGCTCGCTTTTGGAACCGTACTTGGAGGTTCAGGGGTAGGTATAAGTGGGGTTATAGGTCCCCTATTATGGGTTATAAGTATAGTTACCCTACTTATAACTACCCATGAACTTCCAAGTACCCTAATGTGGGAACCAGGATAGGGTTCCTTTAACAAGGTCCCCAGAGACTCCAATATGCCTCAATTAAGGAATGTACCGGGGTTAGGGTTGAGGGGTTTGGGCTAGCCCCAACCTGCCAGTCCCCATTTTACCGTGATCAGGTTGTAGTGTTTCCATTATCATCATTTTAGAAATATAGGTACAGTAGAATATTATGTTTCATGATACTCATACTGTTGCAACAGTAGAATGAACAGTGTAATAGTATGACAGTATGACTCCCCGCATCGAATCAGCATGAAGATTGCACAGAAGGCAGGTTTTCTTGGGTGAAGGGAGTCAAATTGGAAGGTCTTCAGGAGTAGCCAGGGTCCGAGATCCAAAACCTTTCCGGCAAGGGCTTCCATGTACTTAAGGTTCTAGAAGAAGTGTTCTGTTAGGCTTCAGGTCCAAGCTTTCGCGTGTGGTGGTCCAGGATTTAACCAGGGCCTTCGACCAGGTTCAATTGTCGCTCAAAAAGGTGCTGGTCGTTCTTTTTCAGGCTTGCTGTGCATGCTTTGCATGTGCAACGTGTGTTGAGGCCTTGTGGGTCTTGCTTTATCAGGTGCTGTGGATTATGATTGAAAAATTTTCAAGCGCAGGCTCATGTTTGCAAGGCCCTACAGGGTTACGCCCAGAGGTAGTGCATGACCTTTGGCCCGTAGCTGCATGCCGCACAACCCATTTGAAACCCTAAGCCCCATTACGCTAAACCCTGAACTCTGAGTCCCTTCACGGACTAAGCCATTTAAGGCCTCATTAAACCTTACCCTACCTGCTTGTTCTGGAGGCTTTTAGAGGGCAGCTTCCTTCGGGCTGCAAGGCTGCAAGGCCCAGGATTTGCGGGTTTCCGGGTTTCGAAGGAGTTCTGGCCTTGTGGAGATGGAAGATTCCGGGATTTGGGTCTACTTGGAGGTTGAGGGGTAGTTATAAGTGGGGTTATAAGTCCCCTAACATGGGTTATAAGCAAAGTTACCCTACTTGCAACCCTGCTTATAACTACCCTAAACCCTGGACCTTATAGAGCCCTTAAAGGAGGACTATAGACCCCTTATAACCGTACTTGTAACCACCCATGAACCTCCAAGCAGGGCTTCAATGCTGGGGATGTAGGGCTGTAGGGCATTCGAGTTCAGAGGCTTGGGTGTATTTTTTGTTTCGGGGTCTTTGGCCCAGAAAACGTGGCAGCCTGTGGACTTGTGTTGGTGGATGAACCCGGAACTAGAGTCTGAGCGCTCCGGGCTCTGGGGTAGACAGACATGCTCAATAACGGCGCGTGCGGGCTTCTAGGGAGGCTAATGCCTCACCAGAAGCCGTTTCATCTAAGCCAGGAGCCCTCTGAAGTCGGATTGCTCCGTGCAGCCCCACACCCTAGATCCCAACCTCACCTTGCAGTTGCCAGTGAGACAGAAGCCGTTTTGCCCTTGATCCCTAAACCCCAAACCATGCCAGGGCAAGGACAAGAAGAAGCCTTTCTCCTGCAAGAAGGTTTAGGCTTTGTCTCAGAGAATCGCGCGACAGGGTTCAGAGCATCTGTCACCACTAGTCTTGTGCCTCTCAACTCGGCCCTTCTACCTTTACCTCCGTTTATATCTTCCGCAACTTTGACAGTCGATCGGGACTTGGTCTTGCAGTCTTTCACGTGGCCTTGCAGCCATGAGGATTCGGTCTGGAACTAAACCGCACACTCGAAAGTCTGAACTCTAGGCCTTAAGATCCCTGGCGGAAAAAACAGGGTTTGGGGTAATGGGTCGATGAAGTTGACGGAAAGGGTGGGGCCATTTTGCGGCTGGCAAAACGGGGTCCCAATGATTCGTCGTACTATTGGGGCCTTAATAATTAGAATAAGGTTTTGGGGCCCAGTATACGACAATTGTAATAAGGAGCCCCCAAAATAGTACAGGCAATTATTTAGACCCCTACATTACTGCACGTTCGTGCTTCTAGTCTTCTGGTGATGAGAGAGGGCCGGCTGCCATCGTAGTCAACATCAGCGTCGCAATCCCACCACCATCTCATAAAATCATCGTAGTTTTTCATCGTCATCGCCACCACCGCCATCATCATCGTCTGCATCGTCATCGTCATCGCAAGCCTAATGAAGCTGTCTTTCGGAAGTATCAGAGAATACGGGGCCTTCAGAGTAGAACCTTGTATAATTACTGTGCTTGGGAGTCTGGAGAGGCCTGCTTACGAGACACCCGTCGAGGGCCGTCGTCATGCCTTGATCTCAGGAGCACCACCCCTCTAAATCTTCGAATCCCGCCACCCTCTCAAGAAAAAGCCATGAACCCAGAGACTCCAATATCCCTTAATTAGGGAATATTCCTTAAATTACAGTAGCATCCTTAACATGACTTAAGGTATATTCCCTAGGTAAGGGATATTGGAGTCTCTGGGAAGCAGGGAAGCCCCCAACTTACCCTAAACCCTAAACCCTAAAATCCGTCAAACCCTAAACCCTAAATCCTAAACCCTAAAATCCGTAAAACCCTAAACCCTAAATCCTAAACCCTAAATCCTAAACCCTAAACCCTAAAATCCCAGGAGCAAGAAGAAGAAGAGCTCCGGCTGCTGCTAAGATCGCTCCAAGAGCAGCTCTGGGTAGCGATGGACAGGATTTTTTTCTCTTTCGCTGCCTCCCAAGAAGCCCTGAAGGCCATAGCCCTTGCGTAGCCGGGCGGCTTTAGGGCTTCATGGTTTTAGGGCCCAGGGTCTAGGGTTTAGGGTCTGGGGTCAAGTTTTAGGCGTCAAAGCCGACATTCGCAAATCCGCCTCCCGGGAGCCGTAGGCGTGGCCTTGCGGGGACTTCTGTATCTTTTACTAATCAGTTGTGATCCTCATTCCTTCTCCCTGCTTTTATTTTGCCCCTGTCAGCCTCATGCACTCGGTTTCAGAGGACGAACAAGCCCTGAGCAATGAACCACAAACTGCGCAAGGAGAGGGGGAGGTTCATTTTGCCAGATCCCTTGATTTACAGAGAAACCCGCCGCACTTCCAGAGACAAAAGCATCCCTTGTAATTTCTGCTGTGTTGTCTTCTCGGACTAGGTCTCGGTACATTCGGTGTAGGGGCATGCTTGCTAGCTTCGCAACGCACGAACCCATGAAGCCATCTGGCACACATGGAGTTGTTCTAGTTCATAAACCATAAACGCTAAACCATCGTTTCTGACATTGTCAACAGGTAGGAGTTTTCTAGAAAGCCAAATGCTTTAAAAGCCCACAACGGCAAGACGTAACGACGGCTTGCACTGTGCGTTGAAAGGTTGTGGGTTTATTGGGTATCCCATGTAATAGCACTACCGTGTATTTCGTCTTCCACAACTTGACCCCTCCGCGGTCGAGAAAGAGATAAATCCGAAACCCTGAACCCTGACATCTTTGCTCAAGCGCCTTCAGTGTCTGTCTTAGACTGTCAGTGATTTCCAAAAGCCCTGGTCTCGCACGCCATGGCCCAGCCAGCACAGGCGGGGTCCCAGGGCGGAAGGTGAAAAAGTGGGGCCTTAAGAATTAGAGTAGGGTTCCTTTAAAGGGTTCTTATCAAGGGCTTATAAGGGTCACTGTTCGGGCTACTAAACGGGCTTAGTACAGGGGCCTGAGTGATTACTTATACAATTTTGGGGCGTTCCTTGTTATGTTTACAGTATCATTCCGGCCTCTATATTAGAACTAGGGTTTCATAAGGCCTTGATACGGGTCTCTATAAACCTTGTAACCCTAAAGCCTTAGCTCGGTGCTTCCAGGGGAGCCCATAGTCCACAAAGCCGCAAGGCCCATCTGGAAGCCTGATGTTCGAAATTGGCCTTGCGCAGATCCTGGATTGTAGGGAGATGTCGTCTGAATTCGGAGCGCTCTTGGGGTCCTTATCATCCACAGGAAGGAGTGAACCTCAAATCTCAACAGGAAGCCTCTACATGCATACAATCAGAGATACCTACATACATACATACATACATACATGCATGCATGCATGCATGCATACATACACACATGCCTACATGCATACACGCATACATGCATACATGCAGAAATACATACATACATACATACATGCGCACGTACGTGAATACATGCGTACATGCATACTTGCACCCGTAGATACGTAGACACGTAGACACGTAGATGCGTATATACGTACATACATGCAGACATGCATTACATGCATGCATGCATTACATGCATACATGCAATCATTGCGCGATTACATCTTGTACACAGACACATGCATGTGTATATGTTTATGCATACATATACGTATACGTCCACGTGTATGCATATGAAGATGTATATGTATATGTATATGTATATGTATATGTATATGTATATGCAGATGCACATATAGATGTGGATGCATGTATGTATGCATACATACATACATATATATATATATATATGTATATATATATGTATATATGTATGTGTATATATACATATATATATATATATATGTATATACATACATACGCACGCGTGCGCACGCGCCGACTTGGAACCATGTTCCCAAATTCAGCTCCTGAATTTGGAGAACAACGCCCCCCAGGTGGTGTACACGACAACCGGGTCGGAGACCGCCCAGCCGATGATGACCCCGGGGGGGAATCGGGCTTGGGAAGGCCGAGGGTTTGTATCTAAGGTTTAGTTCGACGTGCATACGTAGATTCGACTCATCGTTGGGTTCTAGGGTTTCAGCTTCGTATGGATTTTTTGGGGGGTTGGAAGTATAGGGTTCCTTGGCTTTTGGGTTTTATTCTATGGTTTAATGGCTACTACGGTTCTGGGTTCAGGGCTTGGAAGCACAGGTTCTGTTGCTTTTGGTTTTAACGGCAACCATTTCTCTCGGTAACTACTATGAATCATTCCGAATATAGGCGTAAATATAGGTACAAATGTGAGTGCGAATATGAATACAAGTATGAACATCAGTACACATATGAGTATCAAGATAAACAGGAATAAGAGTACACATCAACCTATAAATGAATAATCAATCAAGGACTGAAGAGCTAAATAGCTACGTATGCAGATGAAAGTAGCTCTCTCTCTCTCTCTCTCGCTCTCCCGTTGATTCTCTGTCTTGGTGTAAAGGGTTTCTAGGCTTCAGGCTCCGGGCTTTGAGGGATTTAGAGGGTTTTGCGTTCTAGGGCATTACCGGCTTCAGGTGCTCAGGTTTGGGGTTCTTCAGAGGCGTAGGATGTTCACGGCCTGGGCTTTTTTGAGAGCGGTTAGATTTTAGGGTCTATGGTTTGGCAACTTTGGAGGCCATGTTTCCCTTTTTGGACCCTTGCGTACAAAAAGGCAACGTACTAAACTACAAGATATAACAATGGTACGAGAATATACTGCTATGTACTATACCATTCTACATGGGAGTTTCCGACAATTAGGAGTACCTTATTCTGGGTCCCCAAAATAAGGATCCAATTATTTAGGGTACTATAGTTAGGATCCCCCTTTTTTCGGAAACTCCCGCATTATGCGAAGGATCACAGAACCCTTAGCCCAGAGTCCCCTTCAGTTCTTCGAAGCCACTTGGAGGTTCAGGGGTAGCTATAAGTGGGGTTATCAGGGGTTTAGGGTTCCTTTAAGGGATTTTAGAGGGTTTAGGGTTTATTGTAGTTGCTATAAGTGGGGTTATCAGCCCCCTAATTTGGGTTATAAGTATAGGTACCGTACGTATAACCCTACTTATAACTACCCATGAACCTCCAAGCAGGACCTATCAGCCCGTGGATGCGGCGCAGCCAATCACTTATGCGTCGGAGCCCGGACCGTGCCTGGACAGAGCATAGCGAAGGGTTTAGAGTTTAGGGTTTAGGGTTCAGGGCTTAGGGTATAGGGGTTTATAGAAATTGTACAGGGTTTGGATCCCGACTTTCGAGAGAAATTGAGCGAAAGTTTTGAGCGAAACGTCTTGTTTTTTGGTTTTGATCTTGCATTTTGGCTGGCCTGGGCTGGGCTGGGCTGGGTTGGGCTGGGCTAATCACATTCTCCGTGGTCTGTGAACAGCCCTGCACAGGTCCACTGAGTAGAAGTTTGGTGGTTTCCGAAAACAGGGGACCCTAATATGGTACCCTAAATTGTAGGATCCTTATAATAAGGACCCCAAAATAATAAGGTACCCCTATTTTCGGAAACTCCCAAGTGGGCTGGGCTGCGCTGGGGCTGGTGCAGCTGGGCTGGGCTGTGCGTGCCTAGATATTGGTTTTGGCTGGGACTTTTCTCCTGATTTAAGCAAACTTCGAAACTAATGAAAATGCAATGCGAAGCCAAATTCACACAGTTTCCATTTTTGCGTGCTCTTGAGGGTTTAGGGTTTAGGGCACCAGCGCTGCAAAGGATACACGCAGGTGTCGTTTCCTTCGTTTCCTTGTCTGTGTACTGACAGGCAAACGTTCCTTATTATAAGTAAAATATAAGGAGCCCCTGAAAAATTCTAAAAATTGAGCCGCTGTCTTAACGAAGGGATAAGTCTCTTGCTTTCATTACTTGTTTGCGGAGATCTTTGCAGTTTGTTCCTATAGTTGTAAGAAGGAACACGAGGGAAGACCATTGTCAAATATTCAGAACTCTGTATTAGACAGCAAACATTACACTCTCCCGGCGATGGTGGTGATTTTCGGGGCCTTAACAATCAGAATAGGGTTTTGGGGCTCTCTTGTACTACACCTCTAATCGGGAACTCTAAGGCATGACGGTAAGTATTTGGGCCTCCCGACTCTTAAGCTGGGCGTCCCAGTGGGCCCTTTTTCCCTTTTTGTAGTCTTAGGTTCCTTATAAAGTAACTCAATACCAAAAAGGGAGCCCTTTTTTTTTGCCTAGGTTACTGGGCATCCTAGTAAATCCCGAAGCTTAGTCTTTGGAGGGTTTTCGGCACGTGCAAGACAAGCTGCTGAATGCCGTTTGTAAGCATCAAGCAAGCCCAGTGCAACCTGAGTCTATCGAAGCGTCCACGTTTGGGCAACATGGGAAACTAAAGACGGAACAGTGCGATAGGAGCTATGTCGCTAGTATAAATAACCACAACATGAAAATTAGAGTAGAAACAACAATGAATGCGATGAAATGTACCAGCGGTGGCTTGGAGGAAGCAGAAGGTCGAAAGACCAGCGACGGAACGTTATCAGTGCAAAATGAAATGACGACGGAAGCAACCTAATCCTCCTGTTCACAAATCCCAAACCCCCTACTCCCCCAACCACCCCCCCCAGCCCGCCATCCAAAAAATACAACACACGCACACACACTATATAAGGCCATAAGTCCTAAATCCTACGGCCTAAACCCCCAAGCCCTAAACCCTGAACCCTCAGTCCAACCCCCATGGCCTCTGCGGGATATCTTTTTAGGGGTGCAGGGGTTTAGGATTTCGGGGTTTTGTGGGCTTGGGGTTAATTGGCCTGGGTTTAGGGGTTTAGGGTTTAGGGTTTAGGGGTTTAGGGGCTTGGGGTTTAGGGTTTGAGGGTTGAGTTTCCCTGGGAGTTTCGTTGAGTTGGGGTTCGGAGGTTATATGTTTTTTTGGTCGAAGCCCAGGGTCACCTATGTCGACGCATCCGGCCAGCCCATCCAGTACATCACTCAGGCCGGGGGTTCCGTGTGGCCTCTAGGATGTCAGGGGGCTCTTGATGAGGGGCGCTTGGAGGTTCATGGGTAGTTATAAGCAGCGCTATAAGTAGGGTAACTATACTTATAACCCATATCAGGGGACTGATAACCCACTTAGAATAGCTACCATAACCCCTAAACCCTCCAAAATCCCTTAAAGGAACCCTAAGCCCCTATAATTACCTCTGAACCTAGCAGGGTCCAGGGCTCAGGGATGGGGGAGCCCTGAAATGCTGTAGTGCACGGTTCAGGGTATGCAAGTGTACTTGGAGGGTCATGGGTAGTTATAAGTAGGGTAGGGCTATAAGTCCCTTAAAATGGGTCACTCTCCTTCTAACCCTACTTATAATTACCCATGAACCTCCAAGTAGAAGCAGCTAGGTAACGCTTGCAGCAGGACGCCGGCATGCCTATGACCTACACATCGTCGCCCTACACCATGTCGGGTGGCTACACGTATCCGAGCATGCCGGCAACGTACATGCCTGCGATGAGCGGCTTGGATCACTCCCAGGGAAAGTGGTTCGCTCCCGGCGAGGCCCTGCCCCCTGGCTTCGTGGTCACCGCCCACCCCGAGGGCCACACGGCACCCCAGGAAACCCATTCTATGACGGACAAAGCCCGTGAGAGCTTCGTGGTCACCGGCTCCTCCCTCCCCAAGGCCGCCGCCCCAGTGAAGAAGAGCAAGAAGGACAAGAAGAAGAAGAAGTCCAGCGGCTGCTGCTAAGCTCGAGGAGTCTATGAAGGAGTTCAAATTCGGATTCATTTCTTTTGGCTGACAGAGGTGCCGGTCAAAGAGTTGGGTCTTAGGTGTCCAGGGCCATTAAAGGGCCACACCTGCTTGCCAACGCACAATGATTTCTGAGATGCAAATTTGGATGCATTTCTACTAGGCTGACAGAGGTGTCAGTCTGAGAACTGTGTCTCCATCGTTGCTGGTCACCCCCGTTTTGCCAACGTGCCATGTTTTCCAGTTCACTCTGAATGACTGCTTCTGTGAAACGGGAGCAGCCAGACGTTGATCCATAACTTCTGTTCTGATGGAACTTGCAGCCGTGGGTGTCGCCAAAGTCCCGCTGCGCGCATATGTAGCACCTCAGTTTGCCAGGAACGCTGTAGCAGCAGCAGGCTTTCTGGTGGTAGCAGTAGCAGTACTACTAGTGTAGTCAAACTAAGAAGTAGTTGTACCAGCAGTAGTAATAGTGGCAGTAGCAGTAGTAGTAGTAGTAGTAGTAGTAGTAGTAGTAGCAGTAGTAGTAGTAGTAGTAGTAGTCGTAGTAGTGGTAGTGGTAGTGGTAGTGGTAGTCGTAGTAGTAGTAGTAGTAGTAGTAGTAGTAGTAGTAGCAGTAGTAGCTATGCGCGCCTCCAGGCGCCTGGTGTTAACCTCTGTTTTTTTTTGCGTTTTGGAGCGTTTTGCTAGGGTGCCGGGGGGGTTGGGGAGGGGTGGAGGGGGGGGGCTAATAACGACATGTGTGACTGCACACAGTAACGCATTAGCGCTGGTAGCAGTAGCAGTAGTAGGATGCTTGTGACAACGTGTCTTGCTCCACATCCTTGTGCAGCATGTGGTACAAAGAGCACAAAATGCTGTAAATACCAGTGTTTTGGGCATGATCGCCAAAGGCAGTGACATGAACATTAACCTGACCATCTTCATCATCATCATCATCATCATCATCATCATCATCATCTTCATAACCGTCATCCTCGCCATCTTCAACATCATCGTTAACCTGATCATCTTCTTCATCATCCTCATAATCATCATCCTTATCATCATCCTCATAATCCACAAAATCATCAAAATAAGCCCACGCAATTTTAATCAGTTGGATCGAAGTTGGCTTAACTACAATTTCTGAAACTATTAAAATCTCAGCATTTTTGACACTCGAACACTCAAAACTACCAGCGCCAGGAGGCCAGGAACCCTAGTAATAGTAGTAGTAGTAGTAGTAGTAGTCGTCGTCGTCGTCGTCGTCGTCGTAGTACCGCATCCCCACCCGGTGCGACGCCCAGACATCTTATTTTTGGGACTTGTTGTGGTCGGAAATGCTGTGCTTTACAGCACTTTTTTCCGCAGTTATCGAAAGTGGCAGCTGTTCCTGGTTTCGTGTGTATTTTTATCATGTTTTCTAACATCGTTCATCAATCTCGCACCTCAAAATTCTGGTATTTACAGCACTTGTCTTTGCGAATTTCATGATTTTTTGCTGGTTTTTGAAGTCTCGATGTTCGTGCCCAAAACCTAGCGATCAGAATGAAGGTTTTTATGGCCTAATTTTGATCGTGATGTTCATCCAAATCGTTGGAAAAGAGAGCATCCATGTCCAAAACCTAATGACGTCCATGGTCTCGCGCATTGAGGTTTGGAGAGCATCCATGTCCAAAGCCTAATGACGTCCATGGTCTAGCGCATCTAGGTTTGGAGAGCATCCATGTCCAAAACCTAACGACGTCCATGGTCTGGCGCATTTTGGTTTGGAGAGCATCCATGTCCAAAACCTAATGACGTCCATGGTCTAGCGCAGTTTGGTTTGGAGAGCATCCATGTCCAAAACCCAATGACGTCCATGGTCTAGCGCATCTTGGTTTGGAGAGCATCCATGTCCAAAACCTAATGACGTCCATGGTCTAGCGCATTGAGGTTTGGAGAGCATTTATGTCCAAAACCTCATGACGTCCATGGTCTAGCGCATTGAGGTTTGGAGAGCATTTATGTCCAAAACCTTTCGAAATCCATGGTCTAGCGCATTTTGGTTTGGAGAGCATCCATGTCCAAAACCTTTCGAAATGTTGCTTCTTTGCATCGCACCGAGCGGGGATGGTACTTTCCACTGCTAAAACGATCCTTGTCCTTGCTACGCCGCATCTTGGACCGCGACAGCTCTGATGGAACATGTTGTGCATCCACGAACTCTGCGACCGGCGTCGCACCAGGGGGGGATAGGGTAGTAGTAGTAGTAGTAGTACTACTACTACTAGTAGTAGTAGTAGTAGTAGTGGTAGTAGCAGTAGTAGTAGTAGTAGTAGTAGTAGCAGTAGTAGCAGTAGTAGTAGTAGTAGTGGTTGTAGTCGTAGTGTCGTAAGTAGTCGTAGTCGTATTGATAGTAGTAGTAGTAGTAGTAGTAGTAGTAGTAGTAGTAGTAGTAGTAGTAGTAGTAGTAGTAGTAGTAGTAGTAGTAGTAGTAGTAGTAGTAGTAGTAGTAGTAGTAGTAGTAGTAGTAAAGTAGTAGTAGTAGTAGTAGTAGTAGTAGTAGTAGTAGTAGTAGTAGTAGTACTAGTACTAGTAGTAGTAGTAGTAGTAGTAGTAGTAGTAGTAGTAGTAGTAGTAGTAGTAGTAGTAGTAGTAGTAGTAGTAGTAGAGTAGTCGTAGTTATTAATTATTGGGGTTGTTGTTGGTGTTGGTGTTGGTGTTGGTGCTGTTGGTGTTGTTGGTGTTGGTGTTGGTGTTGGTGTTGTTGTTGTTGTCGTTGTCGTTGTTGTTGTTGTTGTCGTTGTTGTTGTTGTGGTTGGCTGTTGTAGTTGTAGTTATTGTAGTTGTAGTTGTAGCAGCAGCAGCAGCAGCAATGGTAGTAGTCGTCAGTTTTCCATGCTGTTTATAATGTTCCGTATCATCACTCTTGGCAGTCTGTTCAGTATCGCTGCCATTGTGCTACTACTATGGCTTCTGCAGTTTCTCTACATCTTCGCGGCGGCTATTGCCGTAGTATTTGCCTTTGTTGTTTTCTGTTTCATGGTGGTTCTCAGTAGTTTCAGTACATGCTCGTCTATGATCTTTGAAACAGTGTCAAATTGTTCCTCTCGGCTGTATTGCACAGGTGCTGCTTGCTTGAGACATGCGGTAAGCTGCGCTACAGTGACAGCACTGCTCCGGTGCATAGCAGGCTTTCGACCCAAGATCCTACCCTAAACCCTTAAACTTAGACCCCAAACCCTAAACCCTAAACCTTGAGCTCTAAAGCCTAAACCCTAAACCCCAAAACTCTTTTGCCTAAACGCCAAAGACCGGCCGCAGCTTTGCACTGCCAGCCAGCCAAGCGCTCCTTCGCCCCCCCCGCTCCCGCGACCTCCATGGCCCAACAAGCTCGGGGCTCAGGAGTCCCTGGGGGTGTTTGGGTTTACGGGTTTATGGGTTTAGGTTTTAGGTTTTAGGGTTGTGCGGTTTAAGGGTTTAGGTTTTAGGTTTTAGGGTGTAGCGTTTAGCGTTTTGAGGTTTAGGGTTTGGGCTTTCAGGGGTTCCTGAAGGGGTACCCATGTCTCTGTAGGCTTGCTCAGATCTTTGAGTGGTCCTGGTATGCCATCTTCACACCGAGCATAGAGCACATGTCGGAAGGCTTTCAACAAACACACATACCGGAAGAGCTTCAAAGCCTGAGATCAGGCCGTGCCAAAGCCCTTTCAGCTTAAGCGGAAAGCTTTTCTCCCAAAGACGAACGAGGTGATCTACACCACGGGTTCCGAGACGGCACAGCCGGTCATGACCGCCGGGCTCGGGTTCTTTGGGATTTCTGGTCTGACTTCTTGTCCCGTGTTTGAAGGTAATTGTCATTGTTCTGGGGTTTTGGGCGTTAGGGGCGTCGCGCGGGGTGTAGTGTACTGAGTTCGTGTTTTGGAGGTACGAGATCAAAGGCTCGAGGGCACAAGACAAGGCAAGAAGAATGCCTAGTTCAGCACCTCAACACTAAACCCTAAACCCCTAACCCCAAAACCCCCAACCTCCCAATCCCCAAACCCCTAAACCCCCAAACCCCTACACCCCTAAACCCCTAAACCTCACAAAACTACAAAAACCCTAACCCACAGCCCCGGGACCAGGCTCGGGGCCAAGAAGCTTTCAAGCGCAAACCCCTGAGCCTGAAGCCTAAACCTCAGGCGGACGAAGACTGTCTGGTTCTTAGGAGGGAATAGGGCTCCGATAAGGGTTACTATAAGGGTCACTATAAGGGTTATACCATAAGGGTTTGGGGCTCTTAGTGGATTGTCTGGTTCTTAGTAGCTTTTTGGGGACTTGTAACCCCACTTATAACCAACATAAACCCTATAAGACGCCTATAAAGCCTTATAGAGCCCTTTAAGGAATCCTATATTCCCCTGAACCTCCAAGCTCAGCGGGTGGACTGTCTGGTTCTTTGTAGGGAATGGGGGAATGGACTGTGGAGACTATTGTTGGGGATTATATAGGGACTACTATAGGGATTCCATTCCCCCATTCCCTACTAAGCACCATATAGAAGAAGTCAAACAAGACCTTACAGCACCTCGTGCTGCCCAAAGGCTTTGGGGTTTAGGGTTTGGGGTTTAGGGGTTGTGCGCGTTAGGGTTGCAGGGCTTCAGGTCTTGGGGCTGTTGAGAGATAGGACAGTATTCCCTTCCAGTCGCTGTTATACCTCTACTCGGTATCGATTTGGGATACTTTTGTAATGTCCAGCCCTAATTTAGTAAACAATTTCTGCGACTCTTGAAACCGACATCTAGTAAACCCTAAACCCCAAACCATACCCCAAGGCCCTACTCTGATCATTCAGGCCACATACTAATCCGGGGAGGTTACTACACTCTTCGATCTAGGGTTCAGGGTTTAAGGTTTGGTGGTCTCATGACCCTACGAGGCATTTCCAGTGTCGTATTGCGCATGTTTCGGGCTTAGGATTTAGGGCGTAGTCCAAAGTGCCTTCCGAATTCCCCCAGCCCTAGACCCTCAACCCTAAACCCCAGACCTTAGCT